GACACCCTGTGATTTATCCTCTCAAGCTCAAGCTCAGGATTTGTGCAGCATCCCTAAACTGTGATGTAACTCACAAAACCAAATATATAATGTATGGTTGCAGGAACTGATTATGTCTACTCTAATGAAAAGAAAGACTAGGAATGACTTGATAGCAACTTCCACAAGGGCTGCCACAGAGAGGAGGGGGTCAATTTATTCTCCAAAGCATCTGAAGGCAAGAAAAGAAGCAATGGATGGAAGCGTATCAAAGACAGATTCAACATGGTATTAAGGAGAAATATCCTGTAAGTGAGAATAATTAATCAGTGGAACAGGTTGCCTAGAAGTTATGGGTGCTCTATCATTGGAGTTTTTTTAAAAAAAAATTGGATAGTCATTTGTCTAAAATTGTATAGGATCTCCTTCTTAAGCAGAGGCCTGGACTAGAAGTCTTCCAACATCCCTTCTAACTCTGTTATTCTGTAATTTTGTAATTCTGATATGTCACTCCACAAATCACTTAACAACCTACACAGGCTGCAAAAGCATATTAAATTGAGGCAGAATGTATATGAGAAACACAGTAAGCTAAATCCCAAGTCATATATATAGAAATGGAATCCAAATCTGTATCATCTAGAGCAATAGGCTTTGCTCCAAAATAAAATAGGAATTAGGTGAGAAATCTAGACAGTATATTTTTATTATTCTGAAGCTTGCCTTGAAAATATGTTTTAAAATGATACAAATAAAGATGCAACTAATAAAATATAAACCTTTTAAAATACCACTCAGGTTGGCCAGTATTATTATTTGCATAAAGTAATAATGCACAGCATTACAGTAGGAATTTGCGTGACTAAAAGTGTTTGAAACTTAATCTTTACTGAAGAGATTTCAACAGGGGGAAAAAAATATGCTTCCTTAGAAGCAATCTGACAATTATTTCTACATTCTTATCTCAGCTTTCACTTTCTACAATAAGATTTCATGTAAATATGCTTTTTTAGGAAATTCCTTAACTTATAATTTAACTTTTCAACCCCTGAATCAGCAACTATGGGCAAGTACTTCAGAAAATTTGGAAAGGGACAACTAGTTCTACTATGGGAAAACGACCCAATTTTCCAACCACTGATTCATCAAATGACTTTGACCTTCAGATGCTGAATCTCTAACCCTTTTTTCATTTCACTCCACAAATTCCTATAAAAATGTTATGATAAAAAGAAATATAGTTAAAACTGAAATGCTTATATAGTATATTTTGCTAAATCTTCTACCTTACAACAATAAAACAAATTTCACTAATGCAATAGCACCAACTTTTAATGAAATATTGTTATATTTGTACAAGCATATTTCATATTTCAACTGCATTCTACACCTGATAAGGAGCAGAAACCAAATTCTTACTTATGGTATAAATTGGTATTATGGCCACTTCAAACTACAAGTGAGAACTTAGGTAAAAAAGCAGCATTATAATCCAACTTCTTCTTAAGTTTTTTTTTCCCAATCACAATGATTTTTTTTTTCAGGAAGAACTTAACAGTATACACTGATCAGCTTACAGTATTAATGCCATGCAGATAGTTTTAGTTTTAGTTAACCTATATTTATTCAGCTACATAGATTTAGAATTTCAACAGGACTAAGGACCAGCTTTTGATATAACTACAACTCAAGAAACTAAAAATCAACATTTGGTTAGCATTATCTACAAATTCTCAATGGCAAAATATTAATTTCTATTCTTTGTGCCTTTCCAAATGAACTGGAACAAACTATATTTGAGACGTATGCTGACATGAAAACCTCATTTAGGAAATACCTTTCCATGAAAATTAACATGATCATATGGATAAAAAGAAAGAGAAAGGGCAGATGGAAATCAACATGTTGCTTAAGCATTCCAAGACTATCAGAAATATTTTCCCAAGAAGAATGGAATCAGATCTTCATTCATGCTGCCATTGTATTAGTCCTATGTGAGCATTATAATTTATATTTATTGCTATGCTATTACAAAACAGGTGTATGGATGCGAAGGTTAAATGCAATAGGCAGTTGGGTGGAGGTAGGACATTAAGAAATTGTATTACTCTGTAGTCAAGTCACAATTTTTAAAAAAGGACATAAGAATAAAGTTCCCTTTTAAAAAACTGGATAAGTTGCTACTCTCTTGCAAGAGATTAAATGAAGTAAGCACCAAACGTTTTTCAAACTTCTTTCAAATCATACAAGAAAAATAGCTATATATTCTACCTCCAATCTTCAATCCAATTCTCCAGTCAAGCTATTGCAGAGAAGAAAAATAAGGTATCGTTACTCCAATCAACTATACTCCTAAATGTAAAAGAATATTTAGGAGTATAATTGATTGGAGTAATGATACCATACTTTGCTTGAATATTTAGGCTTAGGATCCTCCATTTTTCCTATCTATAATGTATACATTAATATGAATCTGTAACTTCATTTTTAATTGTTTCATTATGGTCATTTTTAAATGGTCCAAAACAGTTCAAAAGTATAATTACAGTTCACAAAACTAATTAAATGTATTGTACTGATGATTCCCAGGTTTCATATGACCTGCATTACATAAACTCAATTTATTCATGTATACATTTTCTCTGCCCTCCACTGCCTTGAGCCACCACTGCCACCTGTTCTTAGGACCAGGCCCTGGTGTCTTAGAAACTAATAGCAATAGCACTTAGACTTATATACCGCTTCATGGTGCTTTCCGGCCTCTCTAAGTGGTTTACAGAATCAGCAGATTGTCCCCAACAATCTGGGTCCTCATTTTATCAACCTTGGAATGATGGAAGGCTGAGTCAACTTTGAGCTACTCAGAATCGAACTCCTGGAATGAGTAGTGAGTTAGCCTGTAATACTGCATTCTAACCAGTGCACTTCTTTCCTCAATGATCACCTCTCCCACAGCCTCATAGCTCTATGAGCCCATTGCTGCAGACTAAGTTTAAATACATTCAGACTTATGATTATTTGTTCTCGTCCTTGTTTTTCCTTAGGTTTTGTTTGCTGGCTCATCATAAAAAAACTGACAAATGTCCCTGTGGGAAGACTCTCTCAAGGGAAGAACATAGTATTCATGACTTTCAGGGATTTCTCCCTCACTTCCCCTCCCTCGACAGTTACTTGCAAATTAGATAAGCACAAGATCGAACTTAAGTCTAAATGCACAGCCTTTTTATAAGGCATCAATATAACATAGGTTAGATCAGAATCATATCTCAAAGCAACGTTTTGCCATCTTGTGCAAAGATGTAACATTTTCAGAAATTTTGAAGCCATTAGAAAAGGAGTATTTTTCCTACTCTTCTCAGGAAAACAATCCAGAAATTTCTGGAAAATTGGAATAAATGCATTGTTCATTTTCATATCACCACTTACAAGTGTAAATTAATGTTGCTGTTTAAAGAACATACAATACAGTATGTAAACACTGATTTACTATTTCAATTATTATTTGGTTCTATTTATTATAATATGCCTATTAATTTATTTTACTTTACAATGTGTTAATTTTTCTACAAAGCTACAGAATCTTTAAAAAAATCTATTATAAATTCAGTTCGACAAGTTACCCCAAAAAAATCACAATTCAGGAGAAATTATCAATAAGCAATAAAACAGTTTAATGTCCTTAAATACTTAGGGCTCAAGAATCCAGGTGGAATTGACCCACTGGCCTCTAGAGTAAAAGCTGGCAATAGAAAAACCCATAAAGAAATGAGGCACTGAATCCTCATTCCTTCCTTCTTTGGTGAAAATTAGCAATGCACAGGATGAGCAGAAATGTATCTTGCTCTTCTTGCATTTGAGAGCTGTTCTGCACTGTTTGTCCTCTGTACATTATTTGAGTACAAAAACTGTAGTACTCTGATTAGATTGTAAAAAATCTTATTACATGTTAGTATTTTAAGGGAAATATAACAAATATGAGTACTTGTTTTATTGCATTCATTACAGTAAAAGAAAATATTTCACTAGAGAGATTTTTTATAAATTTCTGAAATTTACAGGGGGGACAAAATGTCCGTTTTTTATCTCTTTGTCCTGGAAGTAAGTAGAAATATTAATTTGGATTCACCACCTAAGGACAAATAACAGATTCACCTACAATAACTTCAATGCAATCATTTCCTGATATATGCGTGTGTATACATATATATGTACATATACATACATGTGTGTGTACACACAAACACATAACACAAACACACCAAGACCTGCAGAAAATCTGGAGGAGGAAAGTAACTCCCAAGAAAGAAAGAACTGAACAGGCATGGAGAGAGACTTCAGTCAAGGTAGCAAAGATGCTATCCGTTTCCTCTCCATAGAAAGACTTTTAATGCATCTACTTATGGTTTTATCAGCGCCGTTGGAGAGATCAGAACGTAGCAGGAACAAGAACCGCTCGTTTTTTTCCTTGAAAAGAGAGCAATTGAACGATAAAGTCATGTATACATTAGCGTGTACTTCGCTCCAGAAAAAAAAACAATGAATTTGTGCGTATCAGATTTGTATACTACAGTAACTTAGTTAAACGTCCTAGAGTCACTCTACTCGTTCCAATTTGTAATTTTTCCCCCCGAAATACATCCATGGTTTTTTCTCAATATTCACCAACCTCTCATTTTCTCTTCCCACCCGCCTTCTCCCTCCCTTCGCCAGTATGCATTTTTCAGGCGAACGACTTCGTTAGACAAGCCTTGCAGAGCGGAAGGTCAGGGGAAAGAATCTCCGCCGTTACACTTTGCCGCGAAAAAGCATTCACCTTGAGGATCAAGGAGGAGTCTGAGGAAGGTTTCGGGTCGCCCAAGTCCCTAGCCTGTCCCTCCGCGCGAAAGAATCCGAGGGAGGAAATGGACCTGGCCTGGAGCTCAGGCAGAGACGCGCACTTGTGTGACAACGCTTCCCCGAAACGACCGCCACCGACTCGGCTCCCGGCCGCCCCCAGCCATTTACCAGGCGCCTCAACTTACCCAAACTGCCGGCGAAACCGTCCATTTTGGGCGCTGCGGCGTTAACGTCCGAGCTCGACCTCGAGCCGCCGGCTCCGTCTGAGAAGGCAGGAGGAAGAAGCGGCGGGCGGGAGGCAACTCATTCACTCGCGCCGCGGTTGCGGCTGCCCACTCAGCACCCGCGGCACGCGCTGCCCGCTCGCGTTCCCTCCCTGCCGCGGACGCTGCTCTGGCCCCACACGACTCCGGCGCAGTTGCTCGGCAAAAGACGGGTCCGCTTGCCCCGTCCGCCTGCCGCCCGCTCGCTCCGAGACCCCCTCTCGCAGGAGCAGCAGCCGCGGCCAGTTTCTAACCCCCTCCCCCAGCCGCTTTCGGGCCCGCCCTGCAGCGGCCGCGTTGCTTTCGCGCTTCCGACTCCGCCTTCCTTTGGCAGCCGGGGCTTCCCCTCCAGCGGCGGTTGCGGAGCGCCGAGAGGGTCTGGGGGCGAGGCGGGCCTGGAGAGGGGAAGGTGACGGCGGCGTCCTCAGTTTGGTACGCCTGCGGCCCGGGCCTTTTCGAGTCAGAAGTCGCCGAATATCAGGGAGCCTTGACTCCAAGCTGCCCTGGAGCATGGGCGATTTGGGGGCAATAGCGTGTTTCAGGGTAAGGCGGCTTTTCTCGGGTATAACAACATCCCAGTAAAAGCTAACTAACTACTTATTCTTATTCAAGGGCTGCTGCTTGCAATTAAAGAAAGACTTATTCGAGAGCCACCCGTGTAATTTAACGGGAAGCTGCCAGATGGAATGGATTCAGGATTGTAGTTCACCGATTTCTTGAGTCTGCGGAAAATTACACCCTCGTAAAAATTCGCTGTCCCAATTGCCAACCTTGATTCTGCTTAGTCTGTTGTGAATTACTGTCAAATAGTGTTTTTTTTTCTTTTTTAATTCAGACGTTTGTATACTGGCCCAGATTACTTGCCTTAAACCCATGTTAGGAAAGAAAGGGGTTTGCAGCCTTCCTACTTTAGAATGTCACCTGTGAATATTTGCTAGTTGCGAGGGGACCTGACACCAGGATTTTGTCAAGGGTTTTTTTGTACTCCTCTCCCATACTCCCATTTTGTTCAGCACAGTCTTAAAGTGTAACTTCTGAGTTCCTGAAAGTATGTATCTCTTAGACCTGTCATTTCACTGTTACACCACTATATTCTTGTGCAAAGCCAGCAAAAATTGAGGAAATACACCTAACAATACCTGTTGTACAAGCCAGATAGGTAGCACAAATCTGCTCAAGCAAAGACACAGTAGGTATGTCTCCATATCTGTTCAAGTTTACATTAAAAAGTTACTTCTTTTAGACTAGTGAGCAAACATGCATTCTGTAGTTTACTTTGCAATACAAAGAGGAAGACAGTTATTAAAAGTCAGTGGAGATTTTCAGTCATCCAGATCATAGTTGTCCCTGAAGAGCTGAAAAAGCTTGGATGAGAAGCGAAACTTATTCAAAGAAAAACCAGAAAGTTCAGATGCCTCTTGAAAAAAGCATGGCACAGTTATTAAAACATCTCAGTTCAGTATCTGCCTGAAATATCCAATAGGTGCCTCTCAGAACATACCCACCCCCGGTTTAGCGAATGGGAAAAAAAGTTGTGATATGTCACGTGACAAAATGACACCATGAGTTTGACACCCCTGGTCTAATAGATAAAAACACTGAAAAGCTGTACCTTTTGCTTGTAACCATAATTTTGTGAAATTTGCAAGGAAGTTAATACTAAAAAAATAAAATATGTTGAAACATAGTTTTGAACTATGAATCCCTCTTGTTTCACTTGTATATTTTTTATTATAATATATAGATTGAATTGTGCAAATATATGTAGCTGAAGGGGCTGAAATTTGCATTGTGTTAATTCTTAAATAGAATTTTTATAAAATGATGTATTGTTGGTATATGTTATCAAGAGAAATTGTCTAGACTAGTGGTTCTTAACCTTTGGTCCGTGGACCCCTGGGAGGCCATGATGTCACAGCGGTTTGAGAAAGCTTCAAGAAATTATATGATTTACATCTTACATTTTGGAGGTCTGTGGCCACAAAAGGTATTTTGTATAATTACAACACAATAAATTCTGGAAAGCATTTTAAAGAAACCATTTTCAAGAATCCATAAAATGTCATGGAACATTTCCTAAAATGCACTGACATGCAAGAGGTCTTTTCCCCAAATTCACTATTTTCAGGTAGCATTTGAATATTTCCTTGGCAGTAAGTTCATTGGATCCGTTTTATACTGATGCCTCCTTGAAGTTGTAGGTATCAAGGATTCTTTATTAACTACCAGGTAGAGATATTATTGTAGATATATTAATATATAAGTTTTCTGAGGTTTAATTAATATTAGTAGTAATTAATATATAAGCATATACTTAATGTATGCATATTTCAATACAGAAACAAGAGTGCCCATCCACAATAGTGTACCCAGTGTTACTGATACAAGTAATGCCTTCCTGTAATACTTTGCAAATCTATTTGAAAGCAAAAATGTATATAAACATACAATAGAAGGAAGAAAGAATAAATATATTCAAAGCCTATCAAAGTCACTTACAAGCAGTATCAACAAGCACAAATTTTAAAAAAGCATTTATTTTAATAGTAATTGTCAATAAAATAACATGCTATTTTAATAGTAGCAGCTAAAGTGCTATGACTGTTGGAAACTTTCCACAGATGCCAGGGTGAGAGCAAAGGAAAATTCTTGTGGTGTTTCTTTTATTTGCCTCACCTTTTTAAGAGATCTATCTTGCCAAACTCTTATCATTGTCAGTAATATGACAAAGCTCCAAAAGGTGGTTGCTGTTTTGGGGAATAAGGGGAATAATCTTTATCAAAATAAGTTTTTTAAAATGTTTGTGTGAGGTAACATTTCCAAAAACAATCTCCTGCCTGACTTTTAAAGTGGTCTAATCCTAAAAATATTTTAATTCCTCAAATGTAAGAAAAATTTTTTAAAAGATCTGTAGGAATCTTATTGAGTGTGAATCTACGTAGCCTACAACGTGTTAACAAGTATTAAGTGAAACAAACTCAGAAGTATTAAGTGAACTCAAACTTGTCCAGGAATGATATTAAAGGTAATAATGATGCAGGTGTTTTGTGATGGTTAGCATTTTTTTCTAATAAAATCATGGTAAATGCTATGTAATCAGACATAACATGCTCCAGTGTTTTTAGTTAGTGTAACAGGTTTCTAGGACTTTTGCAAAGAAATAAACTACATATTGTTGACAAAGAATGCACTTGCACATGTTAGATTAATTCTGGTGAGTCTCCATGATATTTCCCCTATTAAAAATACTGTTTGCCAGTGGAAGCTGTGATTTAAAACAAACTTAAGAAATTTAGCTTTTTTTTCTTCTAGTAGCAAAATTATAAAAGCAGCAGGCTGGTGAAATTAATGGAATACATTGCTCTACTAGAAAAATGTGCCTTCAGGTAGCAACCATTGCAGAAATTCTGAATGTGGGCAACTCAGAAAATCAAGTAAAGAACCATGGAATACCATCTGTGTCAGCAAAAGCTTTGGCACAGTTAACTGAATGAAACCATTTTCTTCATGGAAGTATTAATATAGCCCTCTGACATGATGAGTACAGGCTGTCAAAAATGTCTACTACCCCCCACACTGAATTTCTGCATCATTTACTCTCTGAAGCAATGCAACCTTAAGAAAATGTGTGAGGCCCATTGGCCATTTAACCTAAAATTCATTCAGGGGAGATTATTCAGTTTATATGGCTTGCAAAAATATTACTCACAAAATATAAAAAGTCAAACAGCAATATAATATCAGAGCAATAGAGAGCTTATCATCACCTTTCAAAATAGGAAGGAAAGGAAATAGAAACAAGCATAAAACAAGAGCTCATTGTCCTGCAAATGCTCTTGGTGCCAGTTCCTGATTGTCCTGCTGGTAATGTTTCTCCTAATGTGGACTCAGACGGTTCATCTACTTTAAACAACCATCCTTAAGAGTGTTTGGATTCTTCAATTAAATGAAAATTGCATGTGGGTGTGTATGGCTTCTGCAATTGGTTTCGGTTTTGGCTTCTGCAATTAAATGCAAATGCAGTGTGTGGGTATGTATACACATATATATGGACATGCATATACACACATGCACACAGCCACATAAGGCATATATACAGAGTATATACAGAGCTGCCATCTATTGCTTCATGGGAATCATTTTCCCTTAAGTAGGAATAAAACAAATCAGCATTTTCCTGCTAAATGTTACAAAAGGATCCTTCAATAAAATGTTTGCTGTTTTCAAGATTTCAGACATTGCAAACTTTAACATTCTGTTCCATTTTTCTTCAATAATAACATTGTCTTTCTCATATCTGCTGAATATCATTATTGAAAATAGGGTCCATGTTAAAGGATTCTTTTTTATTAAATATTATTGTACTTTTCCAAACTAATGTACAGGTAGTCTTCAACTTACAACGGTTCATTTAGTGACTATTCAAAGTTACATCAGCACTAAAAAAATGACTTATGACTATTTTTCAGACTTACAACCTTTGTAGCATGCCCATGATCATGTGATCAAAATTCAGATGCTTGGCAACTGGTTCTTACTAATTACCATTGCTGTGTTCCAAGATAATGAGATTTTCTTTTGCAGCCTTTTGACAAGCAAAGTCAATATGGAAGCCAGATTCATTTAACAATTAGGTTACTAACTTATCAATTGCAATGATTCACTTAACAGCTATGGCAAGAAAGGTCATAATATGGGGCAAAACTCACTTAACAAATGTCTCACTTAACAACAAAAATTTTGGGCTCACTTGTGGTCAAAGGCTACCTGTAGGTGCCTCATTTGCATTGTAGCACTATTACAAGAATTTAGATTGTTCTTTGAAACTTAGTATAACTTTATTGTTACTTTGAATGTAAACTAATCGGCATACATTAAAATGAAATTTTGTTGCATACAGCTCTCAAAGGATTGCTACTTTCAATAGACACTACATAAACATCACTAAATAAATAAATAACTTGTGTGCCTTTTCCTCCATTCATTTTAGACTATACAGTCTCCTATCTTTTCCCTTCTCCCCATTTCTTTTTGGAGGATTTTGAAACTTTCAAGAAACAGCATTCTCTGACCACTAAAGTTGCTCCATGTTCATAAACTGTTTGGGATTTCACTTTTATGCTGTGGGATAGACCTTGTATCTCTTTTTCCCATATACCCGAACTCAGTGAGAAAAATAGGGATTGTCATTACTGGTCCACCCTTAAATCATTTTGGCTAAAAGTGGAATGAAAATAAAGTCTTAATCACTGTTTTGGTCAGTATTCACATTTATGAATTACACTTAGAAATGTATAGATTCTTATAGAATTTATAAAGCCATGTTCAAACTTTGGGATAACCTTTCATCTGCCACCTAACCCTCTTGCATGAATGTTGTTACATAGCCCTAAGTAAAATATGAATTAATTTCTAAATTTTTAGAATTGAAGATATACTGTATATCAATTTCTTGAATGAATTCTGCTCATCCAGAGAAGGAACATTTTCTTTCTTTTCAATTTCTCTTTTAATTGTGGATCCTGCTTTGTGAACACCATTCATAAACAGAATTATTATGTTGCAGAACTGCAATCTGGGTTTCCCCAAGATGGCATTCCAAAATTCCTACCAAATGTTTCCTGGAGATAAGGGAGATAATGTCTCTTCTAAGCCAGCATGTTAATCAGATTAACTTTCAAAGCATGGAAAAATGTTTAGCCATCATATTATGCATATTGTATTCATAATCTTAAATCTCTCACCTAGATTTTACAGTTTCTTTAGATATTGTCAATACCTCATGGGAAGCATACTAATTTTTCTTCTCTCATTTCTCATAACTGCAACTTCATATCAAAGAATCGTGGCTATTTCATGTAAATATTTCAATCACTTCCCTGCTTTATCAAGAATAAATGTACATACATTTGTAGCCATAATAAATAAGTTCATACATATTTCCCAAGCAAAATGTTTACAAATTAGATATAATTAACATTTCTAATAATTTTCAAAATATTCTTTGTAACAATAAATGGACGCATTTACAAAGATGGTATCCTTTCAATAAATAAGATACTCTAAATATCCCCTCCTGTGTCTAGAATCCAAAATATAAAAGGGATAGACCTTGTATCTCTTTTTTCCATATACCAGAACTCAGTGAGAAAAATAGGGATTGTCATAACTGGTCTACCCTTAAATCATTTTGGCTAAAAGTGGAATGAAAATAAAGTCTTAATCACTGTTTTGGTCAGTATTCATATTTATGAATTACACTTAGAACTGTATAGATTCTTATAGAATTTATAAAGCCACTAAGTCCCAGCCTCTGCTCAATGCAGGAATTCACATTAAAGCATACCTGACAGATAGCTATAGCCTCCACTTGGAGAATATCACCTCTTTTTATAATTGGTTCCACTGTTTTATATCATATGCTATTATGTCTAGAGACTGTCGAGAGTATAGATGAGGCCAAATGGACTGAAACTGAACCAGGGAAGATGGAACTGCTGTTTGTGCATCAGGATTTTCTGTCAACTCTAGTGTTGTTTTGATTGAGGTCCTATCTTAAAGGAGCAGATCTGTGACTTGAGGTCCTCTAAGATTTACTGCTATTTGAGCAAATGGAGACTGTGACCAGGGAGGCTTTTGCCTGGCATACCAGTTGCAACTTGGCCAATAAAGAATTCTATTCTATTCTATTCTATTCTATTCTATTCTATTCTATTCTATTCCATTCCATTCCATTCTAACCCTTTCTGAGGTACAAAGTTATTGCAAGAGTAACTCACACCATCACCAACACAAACAAAAATCAGGGCCATTGCAGTCTGCTTTACATGGACTTGACTTGAAGTTGCCCCAAAGTTCAGATGGTAAAAAAAAAATGCAGTTGCTCATTTGTTAACAGGTTGCCCTGAAAGTACATTATGCCTGTGCTTCAGGACCCCATACAGGGTTCTGACAGTCATATGGGTGCAATTCAGATTTTTAGTTTTGACCTATAAAATTTTATATGCTTGGAACATGAATGTCTACAGCAGCAAGTCTGACCCACAGGCTATATGTTATCCTGGACAGCTAGTAATGTGACCCCACAATATAACAAAAAAGATTAAAAGTAAAGTATGTTTGTTATTTATATATATTATCTGTATTACATATTTATATGCTAACCAAGACAATTCCTCTTTACTTAGCATGGCCCAAGCAAGCCAAAAATTAGACACCTATGGTCTACAGCAGGGGTGTCAAACTCGGAGCATCATGACAGTGTCACGTGACGTTTCTGGACTTTTTCCCCCTTGGGCCACAAGTTTGACACCCCTGGTCTACAGGATTCTTTTCTCTGATAAAAACCAACCTGGATGATGTGGGTTCTACATGATTCAATGGTTCAAGTTAAATAAATAAATACTTGCTCAATTCTGTGTTCAATTCTTATTTTAAAGTTATTATAATGTCTGTACTTTTCATCCTAAAGTTCAATAAACTTCAATCCATGGGCCAGAATCCCATAATCTGACTGTTCTTTGTGAATACTCATGACTGTATTCCAATGTATTCTATTCAAATTTAAGGCAATAGATCTAATATATAGCCTATGTTCTTATTTATATATTATTATAAAACAACAAGCCCTTCAGGTAACTGATACTGCAGTTAATATTTGATTAGTAAAGCAGAATGGAAGGTCATCTGAAATTGCCCTTAATTATTTACTTGCTTGTACATGCAAATAAAAATTGAAAAACTCTGAAACATAACTCACCTTATCGTCATAGGAGTATATACTATATAGTGCAATATTATTATTGATTGATTATGAAATCTTAATCTTTGAGCATTTCCAATTATTCTGTTATCTTGACTTGCCATACATTGTAATTCTTGAAAACCTCTAGATTCTTTCTTCTAGAAATTTCAGTGAAGCTGAGAGCAAAAAAAGCTGATTCTGACCAGTGTCTTTTGTTTCACAGGTTGCAATATCCCCGGTCTATAAAGCACCCTCCCCCACTCTAACCTGTTTTCTATTGTTATTTGAAATGGTCTGTATTATGTGCTGGCAAAAGAAATTGATTACACTTTTTTCCTCATTGCTTTATGTAAGATTCTTTTTACTTTGTTTACTTATTATAAAAGTGCTTTAATCTATTAAGTAAACCTTCAGTTGAATGTTTAACCAGATATTGCTTCATTATAACTTGAAAATAATAACAGAAAAAGAAATTAAAATTGCAGGGATAAGAGTCCTGCCAAAACAGAGCAAAAAAAAAAAAAATCTACTCTATCCCTGTATTATTACATCCAGAAGCCTCTGAAACCCAGAGTTTAGGAGTGCAATGGGGAGGAGTATTTTTTTTCTATTTTCTATTTTTACTGTTTGTAAGCTGCCTAGAGTTGCTGTGAGCTAGTAGGAAGATGATAGATAGGTAGGTAGGTAGGTAGGTAGGTAGGCAGGCAGGCAGAGAGACAGCTTCCATCTTTGTTTCTAGAAACTACATCTGATAGCAAAGACAGCAAACTGTTATCATTAGTTATTACTGGGGCAATAGTTCCATGGTACAGCACATGTTCTGCATACAAGTGCTTCAAAAAACAATTTGATATAACCTGTGGAAAAAAATAAGAGTACAGAGATTGAGAAATTATATATATTTCATTACATGAATAGAGAACATCATCAGTGTTTATGAGTGTGATGATGAAAACTGTTGATGTTATCTAGTCAGGTAATGAAACATCAAGGACTCCATAGTGAATCCAATAAGCTATATCCATTAAGCATGGCTCCTATAAATTCAATAGTAAACCTCACATGGATTTGACTAGAAACCATATTTAAACAGTTTATTTTCTTTCCTTTTACCCCGTTAGGCTTGAACAAAATAGTGTTTCCATTAATGTAAAGGTGGAAAACTGCTAATATATTTCAGTTCAATAATAAGCTTCCCCAGGATGAATAAAAACGCTTCCTAATGTATATTAAATACTTTTAACTTCAGAATCATACTTTTTGAAATCCCACAAGATACAAGGTACCAGGATAGAGTTCAAAAGCACTGCAAGTCTATTCCATGCAACCTATACATAAGAATCCGAACTACTAATGGTCAATGTGAATTGGCACCAAATAAGAGTCAATGGATTTCGAAGTGGGGGGGGGCGTAATTTAGGTCTCTCTCAGGGGCTTCAGACTGATGAAGCATTTTACCTCAGGCTCAGCCTGGTCATCTCCTACAAGGCCTTGAGAGGTTTTTAAGTGGTGTGTGAGTTGGGGGAGGCCAGGAGAGACTGTGCATAGGCAGTGGGGTGCTACAGGTGAGAGCGATTGATCAGAGCAACTTGTGATTTCCCTGTTGGCTTCCACATTACCTTTTTTTTTGTGGGAAGCCAGCAGGGAAGGTCACAAATGGTGTTCATCTGACTTTAGCTCCCTGTAACATCGTAACTGCAAGCTGAGCATCTGAGCTCCTCATCACAATCACATGACTTCTGTGGTAAAATTTTATCAACCAGTCATATGTCCTTTATTTTAACAGAGCTCTGAATGGTCACTGAACAAATGGATGTAAGCCAAGGACTACCTTTCATAAAAACGAACAATTGTACAGTTCTATTTTAAGGATTGCTGAAAAAGTACTTGAATTATTAGTGTTATGAAAATTGTCTCGTTCCAGGAATGGAATATTTCATTATCCTCTGGACTATACGTGAAACACTACAAACCCTTTCCAGTTTAAGTTCCAGAAGATTTATTTCCCTCTAGCTACTGGTTTATCCCTTGAACAGTATATTTTGTACAACCTTACAAAATATATTTTATCATTACTGAACAATTTTGGACTGAGGACTATACTTAGTTTTGAGAACCGACAATCAAAATATGAACAGAACCAGGACTTAAATTTGATTTGATTTAAATAAAATAAAATCACTTCCCCTATATTTAATCATTTATCTGTGTGTATGGAGATTTCTGCCCCATCCAATACAGAGGCCCAGATTGGAACTCCAGAATTGGCTCAATCTGATTCAGATCATTTGAATGACCAAAATCAGCATGAAATGTGGAAAAAGAGAATTCCATTCTTTATAATCTGGCACTGAAAAAGATAAATGACTATACATTTTATGTTTTTTTTCAACAGCAATTTGAGGTCAAGATGGAATCTTAGAATTGTTTCAGATTTCATGGAAAACACTGCAGAATTCTTAAGCTGTTTAAATATCCATAATCTTTTGATTTGAGATAAAAGTATGATGACATTTTCAGCAATACGATCCATGTCAAATCTCAAAAACGGCATTCACCACACTGAGGAGTCAGAGAATGTTGAATATTGGGGAAACTTTGGAGTCTTAAAGTGAAAATATAAGAGAATAATCTATCTGAGCATAACATAATTATTTGTTCCGCATCGTATCAACTACTTACTGCATCTCACAAAATTTCAGCACACCTATGTTCAGGATGAATGACTAGCTGAAGAGAAAAACAAACTAGGGATTTCTTCCAAATCTTTCCTCTGGATCTTTATAACTGCTAGGAAATTACCAAAACTCCCCTAGTCACAATGATATGATTTATTTGAAAGCAAAATTACAGATCACCAAATCAGATATTCTTCTCTTTCCAGCCATGGAATTTTATTTAAGCAACAAAAGACATGTTGTATTTCTTCATGCTGCAAAAATTATGAAGAAATGAAATTATGAAGAAATTATGAAGAATGGAGTTTCATGGCAGTCCAACATCTGGCTGAACCCAGTTTAGAAGTGCTTGATCCAAATTTGAAATAAATGAAAATGCATTCTGTTCACCTTGCAATGTAGGCCTCACCAAAGATGATGTACATTTTTAATATTTCTTGTTTTCTCTTAAAATTTGGACACAAATTTTAGAATGCTCTGTGAGCCACATCTAAAAATTGAGTATGGGGGAGGAGCAAGAGTGTGTGACCTTGAATGTGAATGTGTGGCCTTACATGTAAAAACATTTTTATTTTTATTTTTATTTTATTTTCATATTTTATCTTGCCAATATATCCACAATTGTATATTTATTAATCAGATTTATGCAACTTGTACAAGAAACTCTGGGCTGTTTACAATAAGAGAGAGCAAAAAAACCCCCACAAAAAACCCATATAAAAATATACAAAGTTAAAAAGACAGACCATTCTCAAGGCACCAGCCACTCCAGAGCTGTGCATCACTCTCAGATTTCCATATTAGTTGACAGACCCAAGCTTTAATACTCTTCTGAAGGCCAAAAGAGTACTAATCAACCTCACTTCCAGGTTTAAGATGTTCTACAAGGTGGGAACAATGGCAGAAAAGACTTCCCTCGTAGGCCTTGCCAGTCAAAATTCTTTGCTGATACAGTCTATAACAATGTCCTTCCTGCTGGATCAGTGGAATGGGTGATACAGTAGGGATGAGGTGGTTCCTCAGGTAATCTGGGCCTATGCCATGAAAGGCTTTAAAGGAGATTCCTGGAGATGTTCCTACTTATAACCCACTTCTATGAGATAAGGGGAATGGAGGCCAGGAGGCACTATTTTTCACTTGGTGTCCTGGCCCTGTGGAATAGTTTCCTCTTAGAAAGAAACATTGCTACATCTCTTTTAACATTTCTGAAGTTTCTGGAGACAGACCTTTTCCAGTGTTTGGTAGGTGATTTGTCATTGCTACCTTTATTGTATTGTACTTTATTATTGCTAGAAGTTTTATCATTATAACACAGATTGTTGCTTGATCTTTGTTTTTTCAATTTACATTCTTACCATAATGTTTTAAACTTTTAACTATAAATTATGAGTGTTTTGTTGGCTGAAGTGGTAAACTGCCATTTCTTCTTAGTTTGGCAGCAGAAAAGTGGAATAAAAACATTTAGTTCAAAATATTTAGCACTTAGATGTTGTGCTGCTATCAAGAGACAGGATTTTGGATCCCAAGTTCAGAAGAGTCAGAGATGCAGGATGGGCAACATACAACACTATGAAATAGATGAAATAACAAGGGGAGGGGATGTCACTCCAAGATCTCTAAACCTAGAATCGAAAATTAATCTCCTGCAATGGTACTTGTAAGCATATACATTTTTAGATTTTATCTCTCCTTTGCAGAAACACAGAATAAAACTTCATACTTAAAACATATATGGTAATTATATTTCCACACAACAGAATTATTGGGGCAGGAAGAAGAAGGAATCTTTGAGTTTTCTAAAAATTGTTTACTTTACATTAGAACAAGTGGCCTCCAGGGAAATGTACTCTGGTATCTTTCATCTCTTGCTTGATTCTACAAAACATAAGTTGCTTATTTTTACAGCAAATAGGTTTTTTTTTAAAGGAGGCGAGGCAAGCTAAGAGATAAGTTTGGGAGCCAAGCTGAGAAATAATTTTGGCTTTTAATTTTAGGCGGCTGCAGGGTGGGAAATGCTTCTTTCACTATCTTGTACTTGAAAGGCTTTGATATCTACAGCTGTGGAAATCAACTTGCCATATATCATCAATCCTTAAATTCCATGAAGATGGAATTTCAGAATGAGTGAAAAAGGAGAGAGTATACTCATATTAACCAATGTGAATTATGTCTTCAGTCAAGATCAGTCAAGAATTTAGACAGAATACCAAATCTTTTCATCTGATTGCATGGCTTTTATTTCTTAGAAGGGGGGGGGGGCAGAATCTTCTCCATCAGTTGGAGTCATAATTGTAAGAAATCAAGCTTTGAAGTTGGGACTTAAGGCCAAAGATGGCAAAATCAATCTTATTTCACATCACACCAGAGAGATTAGAAGCTACTGTTGAAAGTATTGTACTTCATGTTATCCCTCCTTGGTGAGGTTGCTAAAGTTATAGACATGTCATCACCATCTTTTCCTCCAAAGCTTCTCTACCTTCCTCTAAAAGCACTGGGAATAAGGAAGAAGATGATGGTTGTAGATGCTCTGTCCACCATATTCATTCCAACACTGGACTGTAAACTGAGTTTTTCAGTTGTGACTCTCTTGAAGTGGATCTTCCTGCCTTTAAATCATCCAGGATCATCAGTAAGGCAATTTCATCAATTGTCCAGTTCATCAAACAGCTTTTGATGATATTTGGGATATTGGAATAATTTGGGCCTTGTAAATGGATATACTTTTCATTTTTTAAACCAGGACTATAAAAGGTACAGCTTATGACCAGATGTATCCCACCGGCATCAAATTTGTAGTCCCCATATCCATAAAATGAATCGAGTACAATAATTACAGGGCTTTGAGGGAATTGGCATCTGGAACCTGCTCCTGTCTTTGTCGTTGTAACAAACTGCACTGTTTGGTTTGGTGGCAGCCAGAGGCGGTATGCAGCAGGTTCTGGCCAGTTCTGGTGAACCGGTAGCAGAAATTTTGAGTAGTTCAGAAAACCAGCAAATACTACTTCTGATACAGATTTTACAGTATCCTTCCCCTGCCACACCCACCAAGCCATGCCCACAGAACCAGTAGTAAAAGAAATTGAATCCCACCACTGGTGGCAGCAGTGCCTCAAATAGAAGGTCCTTACAGAGAGTGATAAGGACAGCAAAGAAGATTATAGGAAGCTTGCTTCCAGTTGTTTGTGATATTGCTTATAAGCGCTATTTGCTTGGAGCTCAAAGCATTGTTAGAGACCCCACACACCCATTTTACAGTCTGTTTCTGTTGCTCCCCCCTGGGAGGAGGTTTCAAAAGGTTAAACACTTATTCAGTGTTTCCTGGAGTCTTGATAACTACCGGTGCCTTCAATGAATAGCATTAGTTTGACTGAAAGGCTTCTGTTTATTATTGGGCTTATTATTTTAGTGGTGTTTAAAAATTACTGATTTGAAACAGTTTATGGTTTAACATAAACTGGAAATGCTTTTAATATAGAACAGGAAATATTTTGCTCTTCTGCTTGTAAGGATTCCTGGACAGGCACAGGATAGAAAGTAGAGAGGAAGACTTTAAACCCGGGGTCTTCAAACTTTACAGCTTTAAGACTTGTGGACCAACTCCCAGAATTCCTCCTCCAGTCATGTTTGCTCAGTAATTCTGGGAATTGAAGTCCACAAGTCTTAAAGGTGCCAAGTTTGGAGACCCCTGATTTAAACCCATCATTTTTCAGAATCTAGTTCTACTACTGTAAATGGCTCCTTGGGTGGGACCTATCATGTCTTTGACTTTCCAGTGGTCTTTAGAAGTAAAGGACAACAGACGCAAGGCAATTTTCTTGATATGTGTGGATATACTCTTTAGTAACATGACAATCCAGACACTCAGTAACTCCAGTAATTAAACTGGTAGTCTCTGGACTTGCTGCAGTGCTTGAGAAATAGCTCTGTTTCTGCAACCATTGACAATTTTTTAAAAATCACCGTCTATATATATATATATATTGTACATACATCCATACAAAAATCACCACAATGATGGAATCCCTAATTATAACTTCAAAAAAGGACAATCTCTCATCCCTTGATATGCAATTTCTATTCACTGGATGCAATACTGTAGAAGACCATTACAACATATTTTTACTTGAAGTCAAAAGAGTCATCAAACTATATGTACCAATAACAACTCCAAAAACCAGAAAAAACAAATTACCCATAACAATAAGGAAACTTCAATCCAAAAAGAAATCACTTTGGCAGAAAAACAAATCTGTTCACGTTGCCAACTTCAAAAGCCGATACAAAAATTTATGCCACCAGATAAAGATTGAATGCACCAATTAGCACATTAAACAAGAGGAAAACCTTCTACGCACCAATTCCACCCGCGCTTTCTACAATTTTGTAAACAACAAACTAAAACACTCAAGGTCAATCCCACCCCTGAAAGGTCCTAATGGCAAAGACTGCAATGATGACACCAATAAAGCCAACCTCTTTAACACATTCTTTGGCTCAGTATTTGTAAATAGCAATGGATCATGCCCAGTATTTCCTAGTCAAACCACAGACAACTACAATGATCAAATACAGGGGTCGCCAACCTTTTTGGACCTCAGGGACCACCAAACTCATAATTTTAAATCCCAGGGATCACTAACCGGTTCTGTGGGCATAGCTTAATTTGTGGATGTGGCTTGGTGGTCATGTGACTGGCTGGGCATGGCTTGTATGTATATATTATACATATTTATATAAATATTGATTTTTTTTATAAAAAAGAGTGACTTTTACCCAAAATCAGGCAAAGCCACGGCCCACTGGTTGGTGACCGCTGATCTAATACATATCGATTTTAGAGAAGACAATGTTGAAAAACCACTACACAATCTAAAACCATCTCTATCTATTGGACAGGAAAGAATATGTGCCTACTTCTTCAAAAAGCTATCCACTGCCATAGCTGAACCTCTAAGCATAATCTTTGAAAAATCTTTCAGGACCAGCTCCATGCCAAAACTATGGTCACAAGCCACTGTCATCCCCATCTTCAAAAAGGGAGACCCCAGCCTAGTTGACCCATCTTTATGCTGCATCACCTGTAAAGTCATGGAATCAATTATTAACCAATCCATCATCCTCCACTTAGAGACAAACAACCTACTCTCTAATAAACAATTTGGTTTCAGAAAAAACTATCCTGTAATCTGCAACTCTTACACTGTAAAAATATATGGACTACACAACTCGATCAGGGCAAAGCAATAGACTCAATCTACATAGACTTCTG